TTAGTGGATTTGGACCCTACCTTGGTAGAAGCTCGTCACTACTTTCAACCTAAGGCTAGGATTGTTACTTACTCAGTACATGGGGTTGGTTGTACTTATACTACACTTCTGCACATTGCGTGCAGATGTTGACTGTTGACGTTGCTGTGCTCGATGGTTGCGGGATTTGAAGATGTACATGCGTTCCTGTTGTAGCTGCCTCTTGTTCATGGTAGCCTTAAATTTATAAAAGCTCTATTTATGTACTATTCAAACGGACTATGTATTTATTTCATTTTCGCTTTGTATACTCTATTCTTAGAAGTTCGTGATTTGTACTACCAATTCTTGGGGGATGTATAAGATTAAGATCTATATTCACTTAAATTGGTTTAATAATTATTATTGGAATTGGATTATTGAAAGTTGGCTTACCTAGCGGGTTGGGTTAGGTGCCATCACGACTAATTGAATTTTGGGTCGTGACAATTTCCCAATAACTAGGTTCAAGATTGCGCTCTATTCAATCCTATTGCAATCAAGAATTACCTCTTTCAAGTTCAACTCAAGATTCATACATAGTATTTCACTGTTAGCTAGGCAGTAAAATAATTAAACTCAAGATATAAATAAACAACCCAATATGATAAATTAAATCGTCAAATCAATCTCTGAATATCAATATTCATGTAAAACCATAATCCCAAAATAAACGAGTTTAGCCACGCATAGTCATGGTAGCAATCTCAATTAATTCCCAAGAATACATAAAAATCAATAAGAAAAGGAAAAAAGAAGAACTCAAGACGAATTCTACGGTCTCCGGATTCTGTGATGACTTTTCCCTACTTCGTGTTAGATGACCTAAAAGAGGTGTTTTTGGCTTATGTATTGCGTACACAGGTCATAGGCCAAAGTTTTCTTTTCCTAATCCGACTCAGCTTTAGGGATTGATACTGGGGTGGATGCTTCGCGTCCGCCTCATCTTGAACTTCTCAGGATTGGATGTTGGGGTGGATGCGACGTATCCATCCTATTCTCCTATAGCTAGAGCACATTTTCTTCATAGTTTTGCATTCCAAACATCCTAAATGAATCACACACAACTCAATTAGTCATAAAATCAATAATTAACACATGTTGGACATTTTAAAGATCAAATAGCACCAAAAAGCAATTAAAATATGAATAAAATAATATTAAAACATATAAAAATATGCCCAACATCACTCCTACCCGAAAAGCAAGCTTCAAAAGCTTCTTCATCAATGGCCACGTCTTCTGTAGACTGTCAAGTAGTGTTGGCTATTACACTTTTTATACTTCTTGTAATGACATTTGTTGAGTACACTATTTACTTCGTGCTTATAATAAATATAAGCTTTTTACGGGCTTCCTTCTTTTTATTTCAGCTAACTAAAGCTAAATCCTTGATTTGATTCTTGATTCTACTCTATTTTGAGAAATCCAAATTAGATGAGAAGACGACATTTGGACTTCTTTTTAACATTCCTACTAAGGGAAGTATAAAGTTGGATGGATGGAGATAAACTAGTAGGAAGGGAATGAACATTATATTATTGTACAAACATATTCCTCCATTCATGCTTTTTTATGCTTTTCATCAACCAAAGGGGAAGTTCCATTAAAATTTGCATCTTTGTAGGAAATCTATGTTTTAGTGTAGTAGCAGCCATTAATGAAAAAGCTTTTAAAGCTTGCTTTTCGGGTATGGGTGATAGATATGGTATGTGTATGATATTTTTAATTTATTATGAAATATTTTAAAATTGGCCAGCATGACGATGATATGTGTCCCTCCATTTAAATAAGGGGTATATTTAAACTCATAGTATAACGGGATATATTTGAATCCAAAGTATGACGAGGGATATATTTAAATTTTTACCGAAAATATAAGGATATATTTGGCCATTTTCGAAAAATATCAGTGGGAGGGCATATTTTAGATAATTTTAATCGTGCGGGTTCATCTATGAACTGATAAGTTAAACGAACTTAATATAATTCATAAATATTATGGCATTTTTGAACCTTTTCCCTTTTTAGCATTACTTCATCTACTTGTTGTGCCTTTTATTGTGTCACGTTGGAAAATACTAAATAGAAAGCCTGTTAATCTAAATTTTGGAAGCTAAACTTTATTTCTTGCTATTTGAGAAATTAATTCACTCAAACTTTTATGTGACTTGGAGAAACATTACATTGTTTTCCTTTTCAATCATTGGACCTAGGGGTGTTCGTAATTCAGTTTGGGTCGGTTTTACCCTAAAAACAAACCAAACTAAGTAAGTCGGTTTTTTAAATATTGGAACCAAACCACACCAACTAAGTCGATTTCTTATCGATTCGATTTATGCTGATTTTTTTATTTTTTCGGTATTTGTCAATTTTTTCCTTAAATATGAGACATACACCACCAATCACATATTCCGTCGACTGCATTTCAGCATAACACTATTATCCAATTACTCTTTGAGAAATCTGTCATTTACCAAAATATATTGATGATAATTAAATTAAATAGTGATGAATAATTTAAGTATTCAATTAAAAATAAATTATTTTTAACATAAAATAAATTCTTGATAGTTTTTAGCAAAAGAAAACTACCTATCAAATATATATATATTTATATAAAGGAGGGACACGAGAGAGGTGATGTGGCATCTCTATAGTGTAGGAATCCTCTTTATCTTTTTTTCTCATTTTTTTGATATTTTCCTTTCAATTTTTCTATTTTAATTATTTTAAAATTTTCACACCATAATGCCATAACTCACTCACACCTCTTCATTGGGGTTATAACTTTTCAATTCCATAACCTCCAATCGTTTATTATGTTAATTAATAACCCTGCTCATATCCCTGTCCCTACGTTCCTCTTCTTGCTCGTACCTGATCGTTACTAATGTAACCTCCCATTCTGTTCATAAAGTTTTGTATTATTCATACATTCAGTAGTACAATAAAGTTGGTTGCACAAAGCACTTTTTATTTTTGTGGAGATTTACTATTCCGGTTAAGATTTTAAATAGCACTTATAGTATTTTGGTCTGTTTACTCATAACTCATTTTAAATATGCAGTTTTTTTAGCGTAATGGAATACATCATGCTTGTGTTCCTTGGAAACTACGTCCAGGTTGGTATTTTTGTGAATTGAATTTGAAAATTATGACTTTCTTATGTTTGTTATCTTATCCTCGCATAGTTCTCTGTTAATTATAGCCCAGTGCTTTGAAGTGGAATCCATCTTTCATTCTTTCTACCTTGTGGGTCATTTTAAGTTGTTAATTATAGTAATCCATCGGTTTCACTTTTTTCTTCTTCTTTTAATCGAGTCACCCCAAGAGCAAGGTGGAGAGTTCTTGGAGGGAAGGAGCCGAGGGTCTATCGAAAACAGACTCTCTACCCCAGGGTAGGGATAAGGTCTGCGTACACACTACCCTCCCCAGACCCTACTAGTGAGATTATACTGGATTGTTGTTGTTCCTTTTCCTTTAGACCTTCGGAGTCACTAAGAAGGTATATTTTAATATAAAGTGATAAATTATAGGAAAGAGAGCGAAAGGTAAAGAAAGAAATATAAAATTGAATGAGGCAAATACAAAGAGTAACCGTTGGAAGATGGATAAAAAGTAAAGTAACAAGAAAATGAATAACAAAGAAAGTAACAGTATGTAGAAAATATCAATAGGTTGTTTGAGACTATTATTTCCCTGAAAATCCTTTATTTTCCTTCTTTTGTGCGGGATCTTTTTAGTAATCTCTTCCCTCATTATTACTCTATTATTTATCTCTTTTTCATAAAATTTCTATAAATTTTGAGTTGTGTTTTCTACTTCTATAATAGGTATATATATGATCTTACTCTTGTCAATTCTCATGATGATGGCCATTTCATAACATTAAGTAGTTGCGTGGTTGGTAGAAGCAGCCAGTCAAGTTTCATTCCAAATCCAACAAAGGCATCATGACTTATATAATTAGCAAATTAAATAAATATTTCACCAGAATAGTAGGCGAGATGGGATATTAAAACAGGGGATTTATGCTTCATGAGAAATTTCAGTCCCCAAATTAGTTTCGTCGTAACTATATTGAGAAAATTTTCTTTTAGCATATATTAAACGCATTACTAATTGCCCTCAGTTTGTCCAAAAATATTGAAGGAGAAAAGAGATGGCTCATATCAAGAATCTGGTCACCAAATTTGGAACTCAACATTGACAAGGGTTACGGTGCTATGACTACCTAACAAAAAATAAAATGTTAGTTCAAATTGTATTTTTTATACTATTTATCAAATTAAATTATAGAATAACGTGAACCCCTCATAATTTATGGGTAGATGTAAGGACGATGACAAGAGTGAAAGATGAAATTTTGAGTACACAAGGAAGAGTAGGAAAGAAACAATCAAATGATGAGTTTTGGTTATCAACAATTTATGGATACTACAATAACAGCATTGTACCTCGAACTCACAAACAATATAAATACGTACATTTATATAGTACACTTAGAGAATCGCGTATTAGGACCACTATATAAAGCTGAAAATTTTCCTTTAAAGCTCTTTTCTGTTTTTTTTCTTCATTTTCAAAGAAATTTTTATAATGAAAACAGGTCACCTAAGCTCTAATTCTAATAAAAATATTATAATTTCTTATATCACCCAGACATAGAATTTTAATTTTACGGATATACATAAAAAAGTTCTCTTCTATCTCGATTAAATTATTTTAAAATTTATTAGAAAAAACTTTTAAACTTGTGATGTAAAATGAGACACATATATTTTGTGTGGTTATAAATCATTATATAAAGATAAATTATTTTCAAATAGGTAAATGAATACTTCAGGTAAAAAAAAAATAGTTGTTAATATAATACTAGTAGCTTATTACCATGCCACGTGTATGGAACATATTGATTACTCCTAATAGCTTAAACTCAATTTCAAACAAAAAAGAAATTTGTGGATAAGGTGATCCAAGAATCTCACAACTCACAAGCAGTGCTGATGATTTGTCTCTCCATCAACCTTGTAAAAATACCTCAAAAACCATAGACTAAACAAGAAAAAAAAAAAAGGAAAATTCATAGTAGCAGAAGAATTGTAAGAAAGAAATATGGAAGTGGCTATGTCTTTGAATCCACTGGTTAGATTACCCCTTTCAAATTCAAGAACCCATGAAGATTTTTCAATTGTTAAACATTCAGTTTTCTCCTCAAGAACAACAACAACTCAGAAGCAGAGGCAGTTACATGGTGGAAGATTGTTAGTGGTTGAAGCAAAAGGAAAGAAAGGAGGAATGGCAGCTCGTCAGTACCAACGTATGGCTCCTCCTATTCCCAAGATTGAAGATGATGGCAACCCCAAATTCGTTATCTTTGTTCGCATGGCCAATGTTAGTTTCTCCCTTGTATCTTTTGTCCTTTAATTTTACTTACTATAAGTATGATTCTTATTTTATTACTCTATGCTGTAGTTTGAGAGTATAGGCGATAAAGATTCGTGACCTTTTGTCTATTGGGAGAGTAAAGTTTGAGCTTTATTACTCTATGCTCATATTGCGCTAGGCTAACAGTTCATGTAAAGCTAGTCATTTTATGATGCTGAATCCTCACAATACAAATTTGGCCTAAAATGGAGCAATATGGTCATACCCCTCCCAATTTGCTTGGGATTGACGCGTAGTTGTTGTTGGGAGAGTAATGTTTGTTCCTTTGCACTTCTTGTTGTACCAAGGCAATGCTTAGTCTTGTATCTTTTTCTTTCTCATAAGTCAGCAAGTCTTGTAAGTATATACTTCTGTTCGTGTCAGAGCTTCCAAAACTACAAGTAAGATTTCGTGTTGAATATTCAAAGCTTTATGAGTTAGTAAGATGGATGAATTTGAAACCAAGTGAAAGGACTAGTTGCATTTGATTAGCTAGTTGATCCTCACATTCCCCTGTGTTTTTGTCATCTCAACTCACCATATCCTTCATTGCTTCCTACACAAGTTCGAATGTAATTGACTTTGAAGTGAATGTAGCAGTTCCCAGCTCATGACTACTTTAAAGTTTAAAACTTTGCGGTTTTGTTCGTATTTCTTCCTTCACATATTCTTGCTTATTTACATTTTAGCTTGTGGAAAATCTAATTCATGTTTTGTTTTATTCCTCGGGACAGGTTTATCTTTGGTACCCCCTGAATATTGTAACCGGTGGCACAACTGCAAAAATAATGGTTGCTGCAAAAGACAACTTCCTAGGGAAATACATATACAAAGATACTCTAGCTAGGAATCTCGCGGCAGTGATTTACAATGTAAGTGCCTGTGAAACAACTGGTTAGACCTCAGTCCCTTGTTAGTATCCAGTTTCTTTATCCTTCATAAGAGATAGCAGGAATCTGGTTTTCCTCGTGCTCACTTTCTTCAATCACCCGGGAGGTAATGAGCTAAAAACTGTTCTTTGTGCTTTTAAGCAAATTCTTAACACTTGTACAATCATCATGGTTGATGATTGGTTTCAGGGTTATGGCGTTGCATCAGGTGCACGATCCATCTGAAACGATGATTTGTCTATCAAACATGTATTTTCCTGATAAACGAGTATTATTGTTCTAGGTAAAGGGCAGCCTGGTGCACAAAGCATCCCGCATTCACACAGGGTCCGAGGAAGGGCCGCACCCCAAGGGGTGTGATGCAGGCAACCTACCCTAATGCAAGCATTAGTAGCTGCTTCCACGGCTCAAACCCATGACCTATAGGTCACACGAAGACAACTTTACCGTTGCTCCAAGGCTTCCCTTCATTGTTGTTCTAGGTAGATGTAAATAAATTGAAACCCATAAGAATGAACCGAGAGTTCATAACAAGGCAAAGCCTATGATATTGATCCTACCTTGAAATCTAAGATTCACTAGAAAGATGAGTAAATGATCAAGAAATATGAGTCTTGACATTATTGCGATGTTAATTTACATTAATTCTTTGGGGTTATGTCAATCTTTCTGAGATACTGTAACTTGGTTTCTACTTGGAACAGGATGAAAAGAATATACAGAAATTGGCAATGAAACAGCACCGTGTATTGAAGTCAGCGACAGAATTTAGATATGGATACAAACTTGTGGTAATGTTCTTAGTCTCTGCATCATTCAGTATTGATTCTTTGTTTTCTTGTGTGTTTTTTCTAATTCGTAGGACACCTGTAAATGAAAGAGTGAAAAAAATTTGTTCTGTCTGATTTGCAGGAGAATAACAATTTGAGGGCTGCCCTCTCTACTACAGATGTGATTGAGGTATGGAACTTATAGCTGTTCTAAGGCTTTACTATACAGCAATCATAGGTGGTGGGATATAATAAACCATGGGATAGTAAACATAATCTTAAGAACAGAAGACTTTGCTAAAAGAGAGAGAAATATTGAGTCCAACTGCTGACTTGTACTACAGGATTGTGCTTCTGTATTATCTAATAAAAAGGATAAATCAATCTCTAATCATTAGTGCAGCTTTGTGGTTTATCTATTTAAAGAATTATGTCTCAGAATCGGCCTAATTCCCAGGAGTTTCTCAGTTGTGCACTCCTTTATGGTCTAAAATATTAATCTTTTATTGCACTTCCCCTGTATATGACCATAGGCTTCTAATTATGTTGAATGATCTCTTCTACATTGAGTAACTCGCTATTTCCGGAAAGCATATTATTGCATCTATTACCAATCAAATTGGATTTGTCCAAAGAATTTGTACCATGTAGCTACGTTATAAACAATTAAGGTTTTGCTAAGAGGCATTCAAATTGCAGAAGAAATTTATCTGAAAATTTTAGACGACAACATGGCATTGGTACTAGCAGTACTCAGTAATGATATTATATGCCTTGCTTAGAGTAGTAGCATGTTGTTCTGCTTTCTGCTAAATGACATCTTTCAAAATCTTCATATGATTCTTTCAGCTTCCGACCCCGGATCAGCTTAAAACAGTCGTTGATAAGGTCAAGGACTTCTTCGGAGATGCTAAAGAGTCATTTGGTAAGCTGACAGCCCTTCCGACGTCCGAGTCATCAGAGGAAGATTCACCAAAAGAAGGATCCAAATAGAAGATTCACCATAAGTACTGCAGAACTTAGATGTCATATGGATGTTTGTTGTCACATGCACTTTTTCTTCGACCTACTGCATTTACCATTCTTAAATCAGCAGGGCCAAGAACTGATAACGCGCTGTGGAAGATGAGGAACTATACTTTAAAGCATACTTGTTAAACTATCAAAAAGTTTCCAGCCCTTGATTTTCCATGTTTTTGGTTGATTGGAGTGAGTTATACTTGACAAACTCTACTGGATTTTTTGTTTAATACTGTTCATTTCATAGTATAAAATGCAGCAGTACTCTAATTAGTTTATTGTTAATGTGAAATGTGTCACCTTCAGCCACTACACACTTGTGTAAGGAATATCATCGAATTACAAAACTTGTATATATTATTTGGAACCTCAGTAAGCATTGGTTCAAAGTAAAATTGTAGTTCTAATCTGTGGATATTGATACAAAGAGCTGCAAAATACAATTACCCTTGAACTGTATCGGTCTGGATAACCAAATTTTCATTCTCAAGCATCCTAAGTAGATGTAGAGCTTATTGATAGTCTGGTACAAGCTTCAAACCCGATCTTTTTCTTGGTATTCAGCTTTAAATTTCTGTCAAGCCTAAATGATACAGTGGAGAGCTCTATAGTGGCTAATGCCAGCAAGTAACATGTGCATCCTTTAAAGGGTACAAACCTGAAATCTTTTTCTCTGAAACATTTCCTTGTCTAAAGAGTTTCCAGGATTGTAGTCCAAAGGATTCCTCCAGTGTAGTCAGAGTCTCCTTTATTATGTAATGGTGATGTTGAAGATAGCTTCCCTCTGTTACCTACACTTTGCGTTACTTCATGTTTTGCCTTTTTGTGACACACTTAGATGCCTAGTCAGTCCTTTCGTTGTTCATTCCAGTGTAGCTGCTGTTTTATCTGTTGCAGCTACATACACTGTCCTACGGTTGAAGAAATTACGTTGAGTCCAGCAATGAGTGAAATTCTTCAACCCAAAACCGCCAACCGATCGTGATGGCACCTAACTCACTTGCTAGGTAAGCCAAACATAACAAAAGCGAAATATAAATACTGAATTAGCAGAAATAGTACAAGTCTAAGCCATCAACATAACATAATAGCATCGATACATAATAAATCCACCAGAACGGGTAAATACTGAGTCATGAGCTCTAAAACGGAAATGCAAGTCTGAAATACCAACTAACAATACTGTCAGAATGAAAGACAACAGTACAAATGAAAAGAGACGCCAAGACTGCAGTCGAGATGCAACCCTACCTCTTCTCTCCAAGATAGCTCAGCAATAAGTCTCAGCTACTGGTGGCTCGGTTCAATACCTGGATCTGTATAATTAGGTGCAGAGTGTAGTATGAGTACAACCGACCATATATACTCAGCAAGTATCATAACTAACCTCGGCGAGGTAATAGAAGAAAAAATTATAAATGATACTAGCTAATCACCTGTACAGTTCATAATTCCAACAAGTACTGAAAAATAATATGACCAAGCCACGAATCACACGCCCAATTCCACACGTTGCACGGCGTAGTCACGTGCAATCTGCCCGGCGTGGTCACGGGCCCAATATCACAATCCACCCGGCGTGGTCACAGGCTCAATATCAAAATTCGCACGGCGTGGTCACATGCTCAATATCACAATCCGCCAAGCGTGGTCACAGGCTCAATATCACAATCCACACGGCGTAGTCACGTGCCACCAGTCCAATTCATATCATACAAAAAGCAGATATACAGGAATACATGTACATGATCAATGAACATCAAATTTCATATTCCCAGACTGGTATAAGTGACATGCTAAGGTTTGTGCATGTGCAAAGTGTGCTATTATAGCTCAAATCAAGAAAATACATCACAAAAAGAGCAATTATCGGGTTCAATTAGGAGATTAACCTCTATGTAACCTCAAACATCGCTCAAATAGCTCACAACATGGGTACAATTATAAGAACTATCATAACATGAAGCTTAGCAATTACTCTAAGGCACATCATAGCCTAAATACTACCCCGAGCATAAAAATACCCCGGTGCACGCACATGGGCTCAACCCCGCACATGTGCGCCACCCATAGCACGTAGCTATCACAAATAACTCAGGCAACTAATACCTTAACTAAGTTTAGGTAAGATACTTACCTCAAGCAAGCTAAATCAATACTCTAAGAAGTCCTTCCCGCGTGAATCAATATCCGGACGACTCAAATCTAGCCAAAATAACTTAATATCATCAATAAAAGCAATAGAAAATAATTCCAAATGATAAAGCTAAGATCTTGAATCAACTATGCAAAGTCAACCCAAAATGTTAACTCCGGGCCCGCACTTCAGAACCCGACCAAACTCCCATATTTCAAACACTCATTCCAATACGAGCCCAAATATATGTGTTTCATCCAAATCCGACCTCAAATCGACCCTCTAATCATCAATTTATAATTTAGAAACGTTTTTACTAAAATTTCTAATTTCTTCACTTAGATTCATCCATCAAACGTTGAATTCAAAGTTGGAATCATGAATAATAAACAAATCATAGCCAAAAATACTTAACCCAATCCAAATAGTGAAAATTTCTTCCAGAATCGCCCAAATCCAAGCTTTATATCTCAAAATATGTTAAAATGACTAAAACCCTCGAAAATAGAGTACTTAAGGTCTGCCCAGGCATACCTTTCGCGATCACGAAGCATATCCAAACACTGCCTCAAAAAAGCCCTACGCGAACGTGTGATATCGATCGCGAACGCGATGTACACCCATGTTGAGCCTGCGCGAACGCGGTCCTCCACTCGTGATCGCGAAGGCTAAAAGCCTGACATCCCAACCAACCATTCCTTCTACGCGAACGCGTTGCCCAGTTCGCGATCGCGAAGGACACAACCTCTCCAAGATCAGAACGCGATCTCCCCTCCGCGAACGCGATAAACAAACACACCTGCCATCAAATTGCCCTCTGGGAACGCGACTGCCTTATGCGATCGCAATGAAGAAAACCAGACATCAAAAAACAGCAATCCAAAACATGGCGAAATGGTCTGAAATGCACTCGAGGCCCCCGGGACCCTATCTAATCACACCAACCAATCCCAAAATATAACACTGACTTAATCGAGGCCTCAAATCACACAAAATAACATCAAAATCATGAATCACACCTCAATTCAAGCCTAAGGAACTAATCCAAAATTTTAAATTCAAAACTTACACCGAACATGCCTACACAACTCGGAATAACTTCAAATTTTGCATGCAAGTCCCAAATGACACAATGGACCTATTCCAACTTCCGAAACCACCATCCGAACCCGATACCATCAAAGTCAATTCTCGGTCAAACCTATCAACCTTCCAAACCTTCAACCTTCCAACTTTTTCCAATTCAAGCCAAAATGATCTAGGAACCTCCAAATCTAAATCCGTACATACACCTAAGTCTAAAATCACCATACGAAGCTATTGGAACTATCAAAACATCATTCCGAGGTTGTCTACATAAAATTCAAACTCGATCAACTCTTATAACTTAAGCATCCAACCTTAGGACTAAGTGTCCCAATTCAATCTAAAACTTTCCCGAAAATAAACAAACCATGCCGGCAAGTCCCATAATCATAAATATGCATATGTAAAGCATCAAATAGAGGAAACATGGCTAAAATACTCAAAACTACTGACCGGATCGTTACATTCTCCCCCTCTTAAATAAACGTTCATCCTCGAACGAGTCTAGAATCCTACCTGGAGTCTAAAAAAGTTAAGGATATCTGCTCCACATCTCCTAATCGGTCTCCCAAGTAGCCTCCTCGATTGGCTGAACTCTCTAATGAACCTTTACCGATGCTATATTCTTCGACCTCAACTTTCAAACCTGCTGGTTCACAATGGCCACCGGCTCCACATCATATGTCAAACCCTCATCCAATTGTACCGTGCTGAAGTCTAAAACATGTGACGGATCCCCATAATACTTCCGAAGCATAGAAACATGATACACTGGGTGATCTCCTAATAAATTAGGTGGCAAGGCAAGTTTGTAGGCCACCTCTCCAACACTCTCAAGCACCTAAAAAAGGACCAATATACCTAGGGCTCAACTTGCCCTTCCTCCTGAACCTCATCACACCCTTCATGAGCGAAACTCTGAGTAGAACCTTCTCACCCACCATATATGCAACATCACGAGCCTTCCTGTCAGCATAACTTTTCTACCTGGACTGCGTTGTGTGAAGCCGCTCCTGAATTAACTTCACCTTCTCCAAAGCATCACGGGACCAAGTTAGTGCCCAATAACCTAGCCTCTCCAGGTTTGAACCAACCAACCAGAGAACCGCATCGCCTCCCATATAAGGCCTCATAAGGAGCCATATGGATACTCGACTAATAATTATTGTTGTAGGCGAACTCTGCTAACGGTATAAAATGATCCAAGGATCCTCCGAAATCCATGACACAAGCTCATAGCATGTGCTCCAAAATTTGAATAGTGCGCTCGGACTTCCTATCCATATGGGGATGAAATGTCGTACTCAACTCAACCTGTGTGCCCAACTCTCACTGCATTGCTCTCCAAAAATGTGATGTAAACTTCCTTGATCAGAGATAATAGACGTGGGCACACCATGAAGGCGAACAATCTCCTAAATATAAATCCGAGCTAGCTGCTCTGAAGTGTAGGTAGTCATGACTGGAATGAAGTGTGCAGACTTAGTCAGTCTGTCCACAATGACCCACACTATATCGAATCTCCTCAAGGTCCGTGAAAGCCCAACTACAAAATCCATAGTGATATGCTCCCACTTCCACTCCAGAATATCAAGCCTCTGAAGCAAATCATCGGGTCTCTAATGCTCATACTTCACCTGATGACATTTCAAACACCAAGAAACATACTGAACAATATCCTTCTTCATCCTTCGCTATCAATAGTGCCTCCTCAAATCATTATACATCTTCGCGCCCCCGGATGAATGGAATAACGCGAACTATGGGACTCCTCAAGAATCAACTCTCACAACCCATCCACATTCGGGACATAGATCTGACCCTATAGCCTCAATAACCCATTTATCTCCAATAGTAACCTCCTTAGCATCACCGTGCCGAACTGTGTCCCTCAGAATAAGCAAGTGAAAATCATCATACTGACGCGCCTTGATGCGCTCAAACAAGGACGACCGTGATACAACACAAGCGAGAACCCTGCTGGACTCCGAAATATCCAACCATACGAACCGATTTTCCTAATCCCTAAAATCCAATGCTAATGGTCTCTCCCCAACTGGAA